AATTGAAAAAACAAAAGAATTAGAATATTTTAAAATATTAATAATATAAAAAATATAGAAGATATAGTAGTATATAACAATAAATTAATAATAGAAAAATATTTTAAAAATAAAAATATTTTAAAGATAAATATTAATAAACAAATATAAGTTAATAAAACAAAAATTATTTGTAATAATATTATATTATTTAAAATTTATATATAATTAATCAATTTAAAATAATAAATCTAATTAAATTAAATTAAATAATAAACAAATTAATTAAATCAATTTGATTTAAATTAAATAATAAATCAAATCAAATCAAATCAAATCAAATTAATTAAAATAAATAAATTAATTTAATAAATTAATAAAAAATTGTATTATTTAATATACTTATAAATAAAATTAATTTAATAAATATTGATATTTTATAATTTAATAATTTTTTAAAATAGATCTACATAATACATAAATTGTGTAACAATAATCGTTCCAAAATTTTTTTTCTCTTTTACATTTACTTTGTAAAGATGAATATACAAGCAGAGGTAATTTAAGATATAATATTATACTGTATTATTACTATTAAACTAATTAAACAAATTATTATATATATTTGTAGCAACCTAAAGCCCAGGTAATTTATAATAAAAATTATAGAAAGTACACATTTTATGATTTTAAATTATAGAAGTCATACAACTTTCTTGAGGTCGCAGATGACACCCACGACTTTCTAGAGGTCGCGGATGGCACCCACGACTTTCTTGAGGTCGCGGATGGCACCCACGACTTTTTAGAGGTCGCGGATAGTACCCATGACTTTCTTTATCATAATTATGTGGCTTTTTAAGTTTATATGATTTTAATTGATTTTTATATATTTATTAATTATTTTTAAATTATGTAGCTTTCTGAAAAGAATAAAAATCGAATTTTATATCAAATTCCACCATTTAATGGCAAAACTCTGAATGATCAATTATCAAGGACAGTATTATGTAATATCATGATACCCAAGGTATAATGTTTTGACTTTTTTAATACTAATATTTATAGAAATTATATAGAAATTATATGTATATTATATATATATTATATTTATTTAAATTAATATTTTTATAAATTATATGAGGACGTTTGATGTCGCGTATATAATAATTATATTAATTTTATAAATTAATATTATATATAATATATATATAATTTCTATATAATTTTTATAAATTTTATTATCAATATCTATTCAAGGGGGTTGTTATTTAAATGATTTTTTTAGATTATATATAAAGAAATTCTTTTTAATTTGGGGGTGCTTATTTTTGGAATTATTATATAATAATAATTTTTAATTTTTAGCGATTGAAACCAGATTCTCGTGATTTGTGGTCTCAATCAATTATTTATAATTATGTTCAAACAAATCCAATAATTTTTAATGAAGCATTTAATGAATGGCAAGGAATTGCTGCAACAGAAATGGATTTAATCGATTCAAATTTGTCATTTGCCAATACAATTCAAATTAATGCTTCAATTAAAAATTGTTTAAAAAATTTAATATCTCAAGTAACTGAAATATCAAATAACTTGGAAAATTATGTGGATTATGAAATAATTCAACAAAAGTTAAGTGATGAATTTGATAAAATTCTTCCTAATCTTCTTCCAGATTCTATTTATCGTTATAATTTTAGTATTTTTAAATCTCCATTGCATATTTTATTTTTTGATAAATTTGAAATAATTTTTACTAATTTTGAAAAAGATTTCAATAATTTTATGAATTCAAATGAAATTTTACCAGAAACATTTGAAATGTTATGGAAAAATTTTATTGAAAATATTTTAGATATTTATTTATTTATTGCAAAATCTTTTTGGAAAGATAAGAAAAAATTATCTCCTGCAGCTTTAAAAAGAACAAAAATTAAAGCAGCAAAAACTAGATTATTATCTGAAGCAAAAAAAATTTAAGAAATGAAATCAAATTCAATTTATTCTGAAGAATTATCTAATCCTACTTTAATACAAAGAAAAATTTATAATTCAATGATTGGAATTCCTGGTTTAAATGATATATCGGGTAAATATTTTATATTTATTAAATTAAAATTGATTTTTTATTAATTGATATATATTGGATTTATTAAATAGAACCATTTCATATTGTTGATAATAATAATATAACTTTGATTAGAGTATTTAATTTTGATAATAATCAAATTAAATATTTAAATCTTGCTGATTATTCTATACAACAATATTGGTCTCATACTTTTCAAACCAAATCACATCAATCTAAAGAATTCCAAAAAAATTTTGGAGAACATTTTGGAACATATAAAATGTATTCAAAAATGTTATATAATTCTGTTGATTATTTATGTACACATAATTCTGAACATCAATTGTAAGTATTTATTTATTTATTATTATTATTATTTATTATATTATTATATATAATAATTTATATTTATATATTATTTATTAGATGTGTTGATCAAATGTTAGATGGAATTCAACCATTGGCTGATAATATTTTTGAAACTTTAATTAAAAATCATTATCCAAATTGGTATCAAAAATTAATATCAGTTCAATATCCAAAAAAGGTAATGTTATTTATATTTAATTATTAATAAATTTATAAATATTAAATTAAAAATTTTTTTTAAAAAAGGTAAAAAAACTTTTTAAAGGTTTTTCAATGTTAACGATAAATTATAATTCCATAACACCTTTTCATATTGATCTTAATGATAATGGATTATGTACAGTGATTCCAGTAGGAGATTGGAAAGGTGGAGAATTAATAATTCCTCATTTAAAACTTAAAATTAAATTAGTTAAAGGACAAATAATTATGTTTAGATCAAATTTATTAATTCATGGAAATGCACCAGCTAAAGGAATTAGATTTTCAATGGTATTTTTTTCTCATAAAAATACTTTTAAAAATTAATTAATTTATTATTATTATATTAAAATAAAATAATTTTATATTAATTTTATATTAATAAAAAATATAATTATTTATAATTAATAAAAAAATCAAATTTTAAATTTTAAATATTTATTTTTTAAATTCTATTTAGTTATCATTGTGTTGTTACTATAATATACATGTGATATAAATTATTTACTGTTGACTCAATTCTCAAAATTTTCAAAAATAATTGAGTTATAACTAAGGATCCTAATAATTTGATTTAATTTGATTCTCAATTCTCAGGTTTATAGTAAATTTAATATATGGGTTATAACCTATTATTATTTTTAATAATGTTTCAAATTTCATGCAAGTCTATGCAAGTCTGTTCAATTCTAATTTTTCCAAAGAAGTTCAAATATATTTGTTTCATTAATTTGATTAAGATTTATTTCAAAATTTTTATAAATCTTATCAAATTGTTCAAAAAATTGATTATTTAAAGGAGCATTAGACATAATAAAATTATAACAAAAAATTGAATTGGGAAGAATATTTGAAATAATTTTTTCCAATTCTTCATTTAATTTGTTGAGTATTTCAGTTTCAGCAAAAAAATTATCTTGATTTTCAAATATTTGATTAAATTTTAATATCATATTATTAATAATATTAAAAATTATATGATTAACTTTAATACTATTAATTGATATTAAATTTAAATCAATTAAATCAAATTTAATTGCTGCAACTCCAACCAATTTATTATATGCTTGATCAAATAATGCAGATGAATTAATTTTAAATTCACAAGCAAATTTTTGACCCCACAAATCTCTTGAATCTGGAATTGATCTCTAAAAAAAAATATTATAATATTAATATATATTATAAATTATATTCATTAAAATTTTTTTTGAAAATGAAATTTGAATATAAAATTAAAATATTAATATATCGATAACTAGTAATTGAATTGTAATAATTTTTTAGTATATAATAGAAAAAAACTAGATCTTTTAAATTATAGTTTTATTATTAAAATTGGTTAAAAATTGATGATGATATTTCATTTCAAAGTTTTTTTTTCAAAACAAAAATTAATTTGGATACAAAATTAAAACGTTCATATTTCAATAACTAGTGATTGGATTTTGATAATTATTGTGCCTTTTGATAGCCAAAAACAAGAATTATTAAATTATAATTTTTGTTAAAATTGATTAAATATTGACCAAGATATTTCATTTCAAAATATTTTTTTCAAAACGTTTTCAAAATTATATGATTTTTTAATCCAATTGACTAATAATATCTGTTTCTAAAAATATCTATGCTTATTTCCATAAATAAGCACCTCAAATGATCAATATCTTTGTTATATTCAAAATATTGATATAACAACCCTCATATATAAATTGATTTATTTAGAAAAACATTATAAGCAAATAAATTAGTGTGTCAATTGGACCTTTTATAAAACATTTATCATATAATGTCTTAAAAAATAAATAGGTTTTCATAAAATTTAATATAATAATATATATATAATATTATTACCTCCAGTAGTAATAATTCATATAATATCATTTTTAATAATTGGTTTTGTCCATTAAAAGGTGAAGTTTTAAGTAGGATTCAATTTTTGTCAAGTTCAGGATTCTTATATATATATACAGTATATATAATATAAAATATAAATATTTAATAAACAATATAATTTTTTAAAATTGTAATAATTAAAATATAATTAACTTACTTTCTTATTGTTTTTGGGTTTTTTAAAAGGTTTGGATGAATTTGATTCAAAGTTAAATGAACACTTTAACTAAAAATAATTTTATATATTTTTTATTTTTTATTTTTTATTTTATTTTTTTTTTTTCCCATAGTCAAACAAGTACGTACTGTTTATTGAATCTATACAGAAAACAAATAATGTATAATACA